ATACAACTGTGCTGCTGGTTTTAGAAAATACATATAATTGTGTACTTTTATATCATAAGACTTGATAACAATAAGCAGTGAATATATTACTAGTCAATGGATTTACTATGTGTTGTGGTCTGGATATAACACATGTCCCTGAAAGTTTCTTGTTGGCTTGTTTTCTAGGTAGTAGCCTCCATTAAGGAGGTTCTGAAAACTTGCTACAATGTGTCCTTAGAGGCTATTATCTTGCCCTTATCTCTGTTTCCTGATCTTCTTGAGGGAATCAATTTAATTTCTCTATACCCTTCTACCATAATTCAAGAAAAACATCCTTCTTTATACTGTTTCTCTGAAGTAATTAGAGAACAATAGCACCAACACCAACAAAAATCGACCATACTGTACTATACCACTATACTATATTATACTTTCATTATTATTTTAGGATAAACTCATTTTACTAATCACAAAAAATCTTTACTGCAGTTTGCAGAGCTGTGACAGCAGTAGCCCCCAAAACCTCACATTTACTAAAAGTTGCTGATTGCACCATTTGCTCTTGCGCTAGATTTAATCTCATGTCTTATTCAACACGGCTTCAGGAGCCAACAGCTGTACCATAAATATGTATACAGATGTGCAGGTATGCAATGGGCTATCATATCTAGGTTTGTGTGACCACACTTCATGATGTTCCTACAGTGATGACAATACCCTCCACTCCTCCTCCCCTCTCTGTCGGTCATGGGGCTTGAACTCTAGGCCTAGGGGCTGTCCCTGAGCTCTTCAGCTCAAGGCTAGGGCTCTATCACTTGAGCCACAGCGCCACTCTTGTGGTTAATTGGAGATAAGATTCTCACAAACTTTCCTGCCCAGGCTGGGTTTGAACCGTGATCTTCAGATCTCAGCCTCCTGAGTAGCTAGGATTACAGGTGTGAGCCATCGGCAGCTGGCATATCTTTCTTACTAATACATGGCTGTACGCTCTGCTTGGGCACGTTGACTCCATTTGCTTTCAGTTTCTTGGGCGACTGATGAAACATGCAGCTATTTCCTCCCAGGAAGCCAGTCCTTCCTCAAAACTCTCACTCCCCAAGTGAAGTCTATACAGCCAGGCCCTATCCCCTGTGCGACTTGATTCTTCTCATTATATAGACTTCATTTGATTTCACTTTCTTTGAAGGACATGTAATTCCCACATGTGTTTCTCCCCTTTTAAAGCATCCAATCCTTGAAAATGTTCTGCTGGCATGTCTTAAAAGCATCTCACGTTCAACTGGTCTAAAATTAAACTCATTGTCTCCCAGACATGCTCTCAAGGCTAGTCTGTTCTCATTACTCCCCCTTGGAAGCGTATTTACATAATGAGAGCAAATATTCCATCTTCTAATAAATGCTGAAGATTTAAATCCTGGTAACATATTTTAGATCAAGATTGCTGGTTCATTTGTTGAACTGATTCTTGAGAATGATCTTAACACCTAATATTTTTTGCTTAAAAAAAAAAAAAAAGAACAAAAACCTTTAGGTTAAATCTCAAACTGAGCTAATTTTTATCTCACGACAGTTTATTCTCCTCCATTGATCATGGAAGCTGCTGAAGTTGTCAAAATAGTGCCTGGTACCCAGTAAGTGTCAGAGATTGTCATCATTGTCACATTACTGTTTTAAAGAAACAAGAATAGTAAATAATCTCAGGAATACGTATGTGATCAAAGTTGACTTTTAACAGTGTTATATGACAGCCATTCAAGGAGATTTAAGGAAAATAACTATTTGTCAACATATTTTTAAAATCTTATCCTGGCACATTCCTGCCTTGAGCCAGCCTTGTTAGTAAAAACAAAATCTAGGTTAAATACATATAAATTCTTGTCAAAAACAAATTGAAGTATTCTTGGTCATTATTTTATAATTCCATTAGTTCCCCACTATCATTCCATGAGTACAGTAATTAATTGAATTCAAAATGTAAATTACAAAACATTGAGTTTTCTGGCTTCCATATCCTACATTCTTATAGGAAGGAACTATATACAATAAAAACTAAACAAAATGTATTAAATTGAATAATTCTAATTCATGTTTTCTTGCTTCTTAATTAAAATCTAAGGGCCACTGGACAAATCCTTCAGACTAAAACCAGTAGAAAAATGCCTATAGTAACCTGACAAGTAATAAATAAAAATGATAAATACAGAAAATTCAATCATCAACTTGATCCCTGTCCATTTATTTGAAAACATAAGCTCTGGGAGCTCAGTACAGATGCCAAGTCTTATGGCTGTAATTTTTCTCCTGTCATCAAGTAGCATGCAACAGCCATCATATAAAGATTAGCAGATTACTATGAAAGTTGCATTTTAACAGTACTCTAGTGTATACTATACTACCTCTATAATTCCTAGCATACAATTAATAACAGTAGAGTAAAACTATCACCTATAGCAAAAATAAGAATCAAAAGTACCATTAACCTTCACAAGCCTAGAAATAAATACACAAGAATGTAAAGTCTTAATCATGACTTCAAGAAAAAGAAAATCCTCACTGACATAAATACCTTAGCAGCAAGATACCTGCTATCTAACACCGTTCATGTCCTCCATAAAGGACAAGTTCAAATAGCTGTTACAAGTCAGTATTCTTTGCCAACAGCAAGAAAAATGAACTCATTGAGCTATCTTATATTATGAAATGTACAATACAGTTTAAAATTACCAAGTGTTATTATAGAGCTGAACTTTCTAAATCGATATAGTTATGGGACTTGGCAGGGAAGTGGGGAGGGGGTCCTGGGGCTTGAACTTTGGGCCTGGGTACTGGCCCTGAGCTTTTCTGCTCAAGGCTAATGCTCTACCACTTGAGCCACAGATCTACTTCTGGGGGTTTCGTCTGTTTGTTTCATAGTTTACTGGAGATAAGAGTCTCATGGACTTTCTTGCTCAATCTGGCTTCAAACCACAATCCTCAGATCTCAGCCTCCTAAGTAGCTTTATAGTAGGATTACAGTCATAACCTACCAGTGTCCAGGATAGGACTTTTTATTTAAAAAACAACAACAAAGGAAACACAAATCAAGGGGGGGAAATCCAGTTCATTCAAGAAACATCATGTTCCCACTTCTGATATGTTCCTTCCCTGTGTCCTTTGCATATGCATCCTTTTCCTTCTGCCAGTTCATTATCAGTGATCCTTTGGCTACATCTTCAACTCTCTTATTTTTGTGGCTATATTATTTATCTGAAGCCAATCCAGCTGATTCTTTGGTCAAAAAATTAGCAATATAGTGATACTTCCACATTTATATTTCTAAAAATAACCATTTTACTTAATTCCAGATCTGCATACCCAAATGTCAGCTTCCCTTAACTCTCAGATCTATCCAAGGGAGCATCCCAAAAACCAAATCCTGTATCTACTGTCCCAAGTTTACTGTTCTTCATATATATCTTATCTCAAAACAAAACAAAACAAACAGCCCCATCATCAAGCCAAAACGGAGATAATTCTTAACTCTTACATAAATCTACTCTATCAACATTTCCTGATGCTTCTTTCACAGTGTATCAAGCTACAAGTCAATACTAGGTTTGCAGGTAAAATATCTTGCCTCACTCTGTAGCAAAATCCTAATTCGACATCCAGGTTCATTCCTGTCCCTAAATTTTATTCAAGCAAGGTCAGAGCAGAGCAGAACAGTCTCTTATAAACATAACTAAGCCTGGCGCCAGTGGCTCACACCTGTAATCCTAGCTACTCAGGAGGCTGAGATCTGAGGATCATGGTTCAAAGCCAGCCCGGGCAGAAAAGTCCGTGAGACTCTTATCTCCAATAAATCACTGGAAAACTAGAAGTAGCACTGTGGCTCAAGCAGTAGAGTGCTCACCTTGAGCTGAAGAGAGCAGGGACAGCACCCAAGCCCCACGACAAAAAAAAAAAAGTAACTAAAATGACTCCGCTTCTCAGCTCTTAGTCTGAGTAGCTTCCTATCACACTTAGAACAAAAACCAAATCTTTATGTATCATACCCTTTAAGGGCCTATCTCATTTGGCCTAGAAATACCTCCAAAATCATTGTTCCTCATTCTCTCACTCATTCAAATCTCCGTAGTACAATAGCACCCGCCACCACAGAATGCTTAGAATCTTCAAATATCCTTGACTATATACTTGGAGCAGATGAATGAAGTGCAACAATGTTGTTTCTTCAACTTATACAGCTGTTTTAATAGAAATACCTTCTGTTACCACACTAGCTAACACAGAGCATGCTCTAGCAAACTCTGTACCTTGCCTATGTTTTGTCATAGGATTTACAACTAAGGGACACACTATAGCAACTTTTCATAATGTTGTCTTTTGTTTAATGTATGCAGTTGTTTTATCAGATTCCCTTTCATTACTAACTAAAACAGAGTATGTTCTAGCAATCTCTTGCTTATGTTTCCTCATAGGACTTAAAACTAATAGACACAATTTAATAACTTTTTTTAATGTTCTCTCTGTTTATCCAGCGGGGATCTTGCCTGTTTTTGGATCACTGCACTCCTAACACCTATAGGTCATAACGCACAGTTGATACTTACTTTATAGTTGCTGAAAAAACTGAATAAACTAAAAAAATCAAGTTCTAACTGGGCTTGACACACATGCACAGCTCATTCTTGAGTCTATCATATGCCTACACTAAAAATATCTTGTCAATTATCACACTGGGTTCCACACACATACTAAAGTATGAATGTCCCAAAAGAATCGAAATCTACAGAAAAGCACCAAAATTGTTTGTGACAAGTTTGACATTAAAAATAAAAATATGCAACTTCATTAGTGTACTCTTTCTATGAAGAAAGCTCACATATATTATGTGTGTTATCTAGAAAAAAGTTCTCAAGTTCTACAATAATAGTTCCTCTTTGAGAGGACAATCAAACTTCTCTAAATGAAATTCCCCACCACCCACTGAACTGTTGAGATGACATGTTAAAAATAAAAAGCAAAAAGCTACTTACCTCCCTTTTTCTACCAACAGCAACATATCCAATTTTTCTCCATTTTGAACCATTGTGCTGATGGCTGAATGAGGACAAGAAAAACAGAAGCATTTCTAATTACACAAAACATCTGTAAGTTGCAGGTACCAGTATTACTTAAGTCTCAAGTTCAGGAATGAACCATCACACTTTGACGTCAAAGACATCATTATCTTATGCAACCAAAACTGTGACCCCAAGGTAAGATGGAGAAGAATACATCTTACTTAGCTCTTGCAGTCTTCTTAAGTGCATCCTATCCTCCTGAGCTTCTTGCATTGGAAGACAAAAACGCAAACTAGATTTGTCCATAGCGAACCAGCCTTTTCTCCACTGGTCCAGAGCATGGCAATCTTTGTAGAAGAGTTGACCAATCAAATCATAGTCGGCTTCTGTTAAGTTTTCAGCAACAAAGGGAACAAAATGCTGTTAAGACAAATACAGAAAAATAATAAAGACAATGAAAATATGAAACTCCTTCTCTGTCTCCTCATCAAGGGAAGTCAGAAAATTATCTTAGTTGTTCTCTTTTAAAGATAGCTGAGTAATCCTCAAATTCATAAAAATTGTTCAAGCTTCAAAATTTAGCCACTGAAATGCATTTCTCAAATAGTAACATCTTAAATTTCTTGCTACATATAGAGATGATAGGTAGCATCTTTCAAAATGTTAAACTACATTGTTCTCCTTTTTTATCTTTCACCAAATCTGTTCCTTTCTTCTTTGTGTGCATCTTGAATAAAATTCCTACCTATAAAAAATTCATGCACAGAGATGACTTTATATGGTAAACAAAAATCTCTTATATTGGTTTTCAAGAACAATTCCTCCCAGTCCTTTATTAATTCCTATATTAATTCTTCCTCTGTTATGGGCACTAGGAAGGTTGCACTGAGTTGAACAAGCAGATATGCTTCCCAGAATCACACACGAAATTTTCATGAGTCCTGGAAGTTTAGCTACTGACTACAAGTTAAGAATATATTCTGCCACTGAGGAGGCTGAGATCTGAGGATCACAGTTGAAAGGCAGCCCAGGCAAGAAAGCCCGTGAGATTCTTATCTCCAATAAACCACTAGAAAACTGGAAGTGAGCTGTGGCTCAAGTAGTAGAGTACTAGCCTTGCACTGAAGAGCTGAGGGACTGAGCCCAGGCCCGGAGTTCAAGCCCCATGACCGACAAAAAACAAAACAAAAAAATCTATTCTGCACTTGAGGATTACAATATTTAAATACCTTGGCTATTGCCTCTGTCCATTTTCTTTGAGCTTGAGTTGTTTCAGCTCCAAATAAAAACACACGTTCTGAGGGTAAGTAGATCTCAAAGATGAAAACTGGCCTACAGCATGTACGAATACAAAAAAATCAACAGTTATGTATAGCTATTGTGAAAACAACACAAATTGTCAATTGAATTCACTTGTATAATAAGGATAAAGTTGTAAAAACCAAAGTATTTATTTACCTATCATGTTACTCTGTGGACAGTTTGTATTTTATTTAAATTAACAATGGGATATACTAGATCAGAGAAAAGGAATATTCTACTAATTTACCTCCCCACATCATGACTTCGTTGATGGCCTGAATATACCCCCATTTATTGACAGGACAGCAGGCTTCCAATGGTCCCAGATCTGTTCTTAGATCTCTCTTGACTTATTCTAATCAAATATTACAAAACAAAAGAATTTGCCTAAAAAGTTCTTATTATCTTACTTCACAAATTTTCCTTCTTTCTCTTCATCTTAAGCAAATTTTTATCTTTTCACAGCAGAAATATTTGAATAACATCCTATGCCCTGAAATATTTCTCTTGTTCCTTCAGATCCAACTCTCTAATTAGAAGAGGCTAAATACATGTGCCATTTATCTAAAATTCTCCAAACAGCCTATACTTGAATCACCTTTATTTATCTCTCTTTCCCTCCAATTTATTGATATATCCTTTATTTCTCAAGTATCATTTGCCAAATCAACAAGCTCAAAAACCTTAAAGTCTGATTTATTCTTCACCTAAACCATGAACTCTCCTGCCAGTCCATTCAGTCTTTTAATCTTGTCTTTTCAACTAAGTTTCCTTCAACCTCATCCCACTTCCTTATTACCTCTTCATCTAATTATGTCAGGCAGTTTGATTTCTTTTCCTTAAAACACATTCCAATAATTTCCACACTCTCTCTTCCTAAAATAAGAAACACCCATCTCTTCATTGTCTACATGTACCATACTAAGTTCAAATTCTACAACCAACTATTTAAAGCAATTCAGAGTCTGGCTGTAACAATTATTTTGTAATGACATCTGGCCATCTGTGGTACATGCATATTTACTTATACCAACAACATTTGACAAAGGATGTTTTATTTTTTAATAATTGTATGTTGGGGAAAACTGGGAAGGTGGCTCGGTGATACTGTGCTTGCCTTGCATGCATGAGGCCCTGGGTTCAATTCCTCAGCACCACATAAGCAGAAAAAGCTGGAAGTGGCACTGTGGCTCAAGTGGTAGAGCGCTAGCCCTGAGCTGAAGAGCTGAGGGACAGCACCAAGGCCCAGAGTTCAGCCCCACAACCGACAAAAAAAGATAGATAGATAGATAGACAGACAGAGAGAGAGATAGAGATAGATAAATATCTATATATTTACATATATGTTGGTTTAGAGTAATATTAATTACTGTATGTTGTATTTTATATCACTAGTAAAAATTTAATGTATAGAATATACTTAAGTTTAACACTGCATGATAACTACATAAAGCTGATTATTCACTTACAATATAAGCACTATTAAATTTGGACGAAACAAATTGAATAACAACCACTTTATTATCATCATAAATCAGTTTAGATTTACTAGAATACAACAATCATCTCAACTAGGAGATGGTATTTAATATACTTGACATGTTTGTTTTAATGTCATCTGATCATCATCAAGTTATTCTATTTTTTTATGATTCAGCCATGATGTTCATTAAAGAAAGACATAAAGGTCAGATAAGGTGATGTTAGGGAAATGAACCCTAAGATATGTATTCAAATGTTTTTTTCTTTCATGCGAATGTTTCTAACACATTTATAAGATTATTTCTTTGTTGCTTTGTATGTCCCTCCCCAACAGTATAACCCCTGCTTTCACTGTATTTGATGTTGGTATAATTTGTGGAGTGGAAGGGGAAAAACAAATCGTTTAAATAGGGATACAGGTGGACCCATGGCAACAATGAGATGTACAAGTCGTTATGTCGAAAACGAACTTTACCACTTTGGTGGGGGGGGGGGATTGGGTGAGGGGGCGAGGGGAGGATGGGAAGGGATGGGAAGGGGAAACAAAGGAGCAGACTACAATGCTTGATAAGAAATGTACTCATTATCTTGCACATGTAATTTTAACCCTTCTGTATTTTCACAACTAAAAAAATTTAAAAAAAGAAAGACATATCATGCCTTGAGTTCATTATTTAAAAACCCCAAATCAAAATATTATAATCATCAATAATGAACAATTTAAGTTTTCTTAAATTCACAGGCAAACATGTTATTCTCTTTGTATATTTTATTTCACTGCATTTTAATTCACTACATTTTAGGGAATTCTCCAAAGAACTTTCAAATGATACAAGATGAAGAGATTTCAATACAATACTAAATCCTTGCATAGGAAGAAAGGGAAGAACTAAAATGAGACCAAAACTCTCATTATTAGGTCTAGTAATAGTTTGTGAATACTTTCCACATCCTAGGTATTTAATGGTAGACCTACCCAGTATTTAAATAGAAGTCTTCTTTATGTATAGACAGGCAGATAACTTCATTGATGTTAATGGTGCCATTAGGTGTAGTAGACTTATCATTTTCATAGTAACTCAAGAAGCCACCTTCTAAAACACACCATTTCTTATTTGTCTCTAAGAATTAAAAACAAGCACTAAGTTAAGTTCTGACATTTACTGAGTATTTTTATAAAGATGATTTTTAATCATAACTAGATTCACATAAATATATGAATTTCCTCTATGACATCAGACATTACTGTTGAGGACTTAGAATAACAAAGCTGTGGTAAAAAAAAATCTTGACATTTCTATTGAGGTAAGAAGCAATGGAAAGCTTTAGAATATTATAAAGGACAATATTAAACTCTCTAAGCAGAATTTAGATGTACACACTTGACTTTGAGAAATGTCAATAGCCCCCAGGAAGCTTTCTCTTTTGCAGAAATCTTAGTCTTAATCAGCCACTAGAAGATATCTATGGAAATAAAATTTAAGCCAAAGAACAGGAAAATTCTCAGAACTCAGAGTTTAATAAATAGGAGCATGAATAAAAGTTGATGGACTGATCCAAAGAATTATTCTTTTTCCCATATGCACATAAGAGCTAATGTACCATTCCAATGTCACGTGTATAGTTAGCTTCAGGGCTTAGAGTAGAACCTGGGCGGTTGGGTCCTAGAAGCTGCCATCTCCATCACTGAACAAAAGGCTTTTCTGTGTCCATTAATGGGTTGGAGTCATATATGTCCCTATTAAAATTACATTAAAGAAGTTATGCCTTCTAACACATACATACAAATATATTATTTGTATATATATGCACACATTATATAGATTAGACAGATAGAAAGATAGATAGATAGATAGATAGATAGATAGATAGATAGATAGATAGATAGATAGATAGATAGATAGATAGATAGATAGATAATCTGAGGAAGACACTATTAACTTCCCAAACAAAGATGCTTTCTGATGAAGATTTTCCTAATTGTATTCTTCATCCACTGAAAATATGGAAACAACAGGAATCATTTTCCTATAATAAGTATGTTTCAACCTACACTATACAACTCAAGTTTTTCATAGAACAAAAGGTTTACAAAATTTCTCATTGTTAATGTACAAAATCAAATACAAACAGAATGATACAGAGTTTCTCATGTGCTATATCAACTACTACTTTTTAAAAAGCAAACATTTGGTAAACAAATCAAAGTAAGAGACCAAGGGTGAAATATATGATTGAAAGAGGGGAAAAAGGAAAAGGATGCTATTATTCAGCTCTGTACTTAAGTTGAACAAGCACTATCCATCTTTTTTTTTACATGAACATGAAAGTGAGAAGGAAAAGAGTAAAAAGCAAAATGCAAATCAGTCTTCAAAACCAAGAGCTAGAAGAACTTCAAATCCTAAAAACCTGAAACCATTTGAAGCCTCTATACCTCTCTAGAGAACTATCTGAATTATATTCCCAGATATTTGGCTTTAGTTTTAATCATTCTGTTCTATAGCTATTCTGACAAGTATTGATGGAATAGTATTGCCCAGGTGCTTGCCTTTCAGAGGCAAAGGTGACAACCATACTTTATTCTCTAAATCTTTCCAAGTCAGGATTTCCCCCGTAAAGCTGTTATTTGCTAGCAACAATCTTAAATGAGGAAAGCCTTGCTCCAGTGATTCACACCTGTAATCCTAGCTATTCAGGAGGCTGAGATTTGGAGAATTACATTTCAAGAAGAGTGTGGCCAGAGAAATCCATGAGATTCCATCTCCAAAATAATCAACAAAATGCTGAATTAGAGCCATGGCTCAAGGGGTAAAGTGCTAGCCATGTAAACCTACCAAGAATTAGGCTGAGTTTAAACCCCAGTAAAAGCAAAAATAAAATGAAAGCTCTTTTTGAGAAGAATATGTATTATGGCAGCAATTGGTTTATAGTTTTTTCTTTTCTTTTCCGTGTGTGCGTGCGTGCATGTGTGTCCATCCAGACTCAGGGCCTGAGCACTGTTCCTGAGATTTTCTGCTCAAGGATAGCACTCTACCATTTGAGCCACAGCAATACTTCAAACTTTTTCGGTGGTTAATTGGAGAGCCTCCTAAGAAGCTATGATTACAGGCATGAGCCACCAAGGGTAGTTAGTATCTGTTTGAAACTGAAATCAGCATTGAAGTCTTCAGTGAAACCACTGAAGACATGATCAAACCCAGATATAGCCATAAACAATTATTAGCCTATGACTTGCACTAATGATATGAAGTGGCCTACATAGAGTACATAGTAAAGGACAAGTTCTTTTCAAAATTATCTGTTAAATAAGATTAATCTGACTATAGCTCTCCTTTGAGATTCTTTAAAAAAAAAAACAGATTAAATATATCTAAAAAGAAAAATCTGAAATCTAAAATGCCCCAAAATCTAATGTGATTACTAATTCATAAGGTTTGTAGATTTTTGCTCCAGAGATGTTCAACTGCTAAAGTCTTTTTAAACATTCAAAGAAGAAAAAACGTGAAATCTGAAACACATTTGACTTTAAGCATTTCCAAAAAGGGACCCTTGTAAAAAAAATTATACTGAAATAATCAAATGTACAAGTATCAGGATTAACAATCTAAAATGAAATTGCATCCTATTACTCCTCTGAATGAGTAATCTATCTGAATTTTACCACCCAGGGAATTAATATGAGGCCAATGAGCCACTCAGCACCCAATATTAATTGGCTGCACAGCTAGCTTCTCTTCCTCATCCCTCATAGCAATAATACATGTGGGTCATCACATTTTCCTTCCTCTACTTCCCAAATTAGTTCAAATATATGTATCATGAACCTGAGGTCTGTGTCACACATTTTATATTACTGATGCCAACTAGCACAACGGGATAAAGACTGACTACCCCTCTATTCAGATAATTCCTCAAACCCAGAACATATTTTCAGATCAAGTTTATTCCCACCATTTTCTTAGAAACAGGCTTAACACGTTTCACTTTATTTAAACATGCAAACACATCTACAAAATTTCTAAGCGGCATATATTTACCAGATATCACTGAAACTCATTGAAAATGACACAAGGCACACTGGTGTGGGACCACAGTGGAAAGTGGTACCCTTGAAACCAAAAGTGTTCATAGCATTACCTTTAAGCTAAATGTTCTTTAAAATATGAACAAAGCACAAGTAAACTTGTACTTACACTTGAATCCCATCCCCAAGACATCTCATTATATTCATGTAAATATATCCAAAAAACAAAAAAAGAAATCAGGAACTTGAAATTTAAAATAGCTCTGGCCCCAAATATTTCAGCTAAGGTACACTCATCTTGCAATATCAACTTTCTAATTTTTCCTGTGCTCAGATGAAAATATCTATCTATCTATCTATCTATCTATCTATATATATATATATATATATATATATATATATACACACATATTTTTTTCCTTTCATGAGTTAGAGTACCCATCCCTAAGGAAAGAGCTGAGTTTTATGGGTTTTTTTCCTTTTTGAAATGACCCTTATAATCTGAAACACAATCAGTTGACTCATAACGCAGATATCAGTGAATTCTACTGAGAATTCACTTAGTATTCTAACCCAGCGGTTCGTCTCTGCTATAGTACATGAAATAATATCTGTGCCTGGGAGCATTTATAAATCTTCCAAAAGTATCTCCACTGAAAGATCAAATCTTGTATCTTAAGGGGGAGAAAAGAAAAAGAAAAAACTTTAAACCTAATTGTTTTGATAATGGGATAAAGTTTTACCCAGTAAGAAAATGTAAGAGGAGTGAAAAAAGATACCTTCGAGCATCTTTTTCTCTGAGGAGACTCTGGAAGCAGCAGCAGGGGCCTGATACAAGAAGTCGCAAAGGAACGTGGGCTGTGTGGTCTCCAGACCTAACCCACCCTCAGGGTGAACGTCATGTTGAGGGAAATCTATAAAAATTAAACATCACATTAGAAACCCAACGTGGAAACAATTTCCCCTTTGTTTATGAAAATGGAGGTGAGTGTTGAGCTAGAAGAAAAACAACTTCCAACTTACCCCTGAATAAACTCAGGAAGATTTATTTTACTTTGCATAACATTTGCGAATAAGCACTTAAGACATGCTTATTATTCATATATGAAAATCGGATTTAATTTTGGTAGAAATGATTACGTAGGATTAACTATTTTAATCTTCTATTTATAAGATTATTTAAATATGAGATAAATTTGCCAAACTTTTTTTTTCTTAAAATGATATCAAAGAGTACTTTGGTAATTACATTTTTTTCTCCTTTCTGATGGATTTTCTTAGCTGAAAAATGAAACAGATTTGTGCTTTGCCCCTTTTAGGGATCTACTGGAAGAGCAGGTTATAATACAGGACTGGAGACAAACCTGAGAATTTGTTATGGTAGAGAAACTCCATTTGTAGGCTCTGGCCGGCCTTCTTGGCCAGCAGGTAGGGGGTGCTGTGCACAGAGTCTCCAGTGGTACACATGACATCTGCTCCACTGAACAGCAATGCCATCGTCTCCAGCACATCAGGCTTCACCACAGCAGCACACAAAGCCTAGCCATTCAGAGAAAGTAAACCTGTTAAGGGAACTAAATAGGCTTCTGGCTACTAGAGGAAATGCAAGTCTGCCAACTCACGTAGGAGATAAGGCTTCACCTGTTATGTAGACTGATAGTAGTCATGCTTGGAACTACATAGTAAGAACCAAAGGTGTCTCTATATGAACTTAACCTCAATTCAGTGTGTTGCTCACAGTGATCATCTCCTTATACATACATCAAACCTGCTTTCAAAGACTTTTTTTTTTAATGTTCATGCAGTATGCAACGATGCTTATGCACGTCGTTAGGAAAATTCAAGACACTTCAAGTGAAGTGTTTTACAGCATACGAGTACTGTCAATGTATCTTTTCCAATCAAATCAACAGTTGCAGAATAATTATCAACTGTGGTTTGGGGATCTGAAAGTTAAGTGCAAGGCACAGTCACTCTCTTTCCTTTTGGGGTAGGAGACAGAAAGTGAGAGACCAACAGTAAGCAAGAGGCAATAAAACACAACAATATCAGTAATTCAGGGTATAGATCATCCTGTTTAAACAGCAGCAGAAAGAAAGAAAGGAAGGAAGAAAGAAAGAGAGAAAGAAGGAAAGGAAGAAAGGAAGGAAGGAAAGAAAGAAAGAAAAAAAGAAAGAAAGAGAGAGGGGGGAGGGGGAAGAAAGGTGGAGGGAGAGGGGGAGGGAGGGAAGGAGAGAGGGAAAGAGGGAGGGAAGGAGGAAGGGAAGGAAGGAAGAAAATTGGCTGAGGCCAAATGCCAGTGACTTACACCTATAATCCTAGCTACTAAAGAAGGTGAGACTGGAGGATGGAGACTCAAAGCCAGCCTGAATAGTAAATTCCATGAGACTTATGTCCAATTGACCAGGTAAGATGAAGTTAAGCGAAGTGAACCCCAAGATAAGGACACAAGTGGGTTTTTTTCTTTATTGATATTGTTTCTAACATATTTATAAGGTGATTTTTTTTGTTGTTTTGTATGTCCCTCTCCCAAGTATAACCCTTGTTTTCAATGTATTTGATATTGGCATAATTTGGGGAGGGGAAGGGAAAAAACAAAATGTTTAAATAGGAATACAAGTTGACCCATTGCAACAATGAGATGTAGAAGACACTATGTTGAAAAACGAACTTTAGGGGCTGGGAAGGTGGCTCAGTGGTAGAGCGCTTGCCTTGCATGCATGAGGCCCTGGGTTCGATTCCTCAGCACCACATAAGCAGAAAAAAAATCCGGACCCCCAAAAAATGAACTTTACAAATTAGGTAGGGGGGGTATAGTTGTGGAGGTGGGAGGGAAGGGATGGTAGGGGGAAAACAAAGGAGGAGGCAACAATCCTTGATAAGAAATGTACTCATTACCTTGCTCATGTAACTGTAACCCCTCTGTACAGTATTTTCACAATAAAAACTATAAAAAAAAAAAAGGAAAGAAAGAAAGGAGGAAAGTAAGGGAAGGAGGGAGGAAGGGAGGGTGAGGGTGAGAGAAAGGGAGGGAGGGAGGGAGGAAGGAAGTGAGGGAGGGAGGAAGGAAGGAAGGGAGGGAGGAAGGAAGGAAGGAAGGGAGGAAGGGAGGGAAGGAAAGAAATAAAATGAAAAAGGAAGTGGACATTCAGTTCAAGTGGTAAAGCACTAACCTTGAGTAAAAACACTAAGGGAAAACACTCAGGGACAGTGCCCTGGCCCTGAGTTCAAGTTGCAGGTGCACGTGTGTGTGTGTGTGTGTGTGTGTGCGCGCTCACACACACACACACACACACACACACACACACACACACACACACACACACAAAATTGGCTGGAACTGCCTATTAGTGTATGATTTTTGCCTTGAAGTAATAAGCTGCCTTTCTGTGTGCTCTTATCCTGTCTATTTCACTTGAGTTCCAGATCCCACTTTCTTGCTTCCAATCTGCTTGCAAACATTTGGTTTCTGGTTCCACATTAATTTTTACTTCAGGCTCTGGACTCATCACTGCACCTCCTTCTGGACAAGCTACACCTGGAAAGGCCACAAGGCGCTGTGGCTGCCTGTAATGCAGTCCAAGTATGCTGGTGCAATAGGGGAGCTCAGACTGCACTTAGAAAATCCTAGGGCCGGGTGCCTGTTATCCTAGCTACTCAGGAGGCTGAGATCTGAGGATCGCAGTCCAGCCAGCCTGGCCAGGAAACTCCGTGAAACTCTTATCTCCAATAAACCACCAGAAAACGAAGTGGTGCTGTAGTTCAAGTGGAAGAGCGCTAGCCTTGAGCTGAAGAGCTGAGGGACAGTGCCCAGGCCCAGAGTTCAGGCCCCATGACCAACAAAAAAATGAAAAAAGAAAGAAAAGAAAAGAAAATCCCAGGACAGACTGACACCTTCTGCTCCTAGGGCCAATTCTCAAAACAAACAAAAAAAAGTCTTATCATTTTAAACTTGGTTCTAGCTGACCTTTAGAACGCCCTTCAGAACTCATTATCAGGAAGCCTGAATTCTTGGGGTTTTTTTTTAATGTCAATTTTGATCCCATGAATAGTACATAGTCACTTTCTTTTTAATAAACTATTACACAGTTTTACATAGTTATCTTCTCTCATCCCTCATGAAATATCAAACACAGTTACTGTTTTTTAAATATGATTTTATTTTGTTTTGTTTATGTGACATTGAGGAATTGAACCCAGGGTCTTACGCATGCTAGGCAAGTACCCTGACACTAAGCCACATTCCCAGCCTCACAGAAATCTGCATTCTTACTCCTAATTCTATACTAAATCGCTATGTGTTCTTAGGCTTCTTCCCTCTGGGAACTTGATTTTCATAACCTACAAAATGCAGATGGCTAGAAGAGAGAAATGGCTAGGATCTGTCACTTTCTGAGTGACCAATAACTGGTCTGCAAATGATCAGTAATTTTAGTAGAAAAATTAGCACCCATGGAAACACAGCTCAGGCCCAAGGTCTCAATAACATCCTCTATTTGACTCCTGACTCTTGTTCAGGCTTTTCCCCATCTTAGCAACCCATGCTGAGGCAGGCATTCTTTGTGTGCTATTCCCTTTAAATTAGTGACTTTGCTTTACCAATACCAAACATAGATCAAGAACTTGTTTTAGAAAGACTGAAACAAATGGTCAACATAATACTAGTTAGTGAGAAATCCTTATCCAACATGCATAACCATTTTTTAAAAATTAGAGAATCGAGAGACTAAAAATAAATCTGAGAGTTAAAATTAAGAGCATATTTTTAGAAATATCTATCTATACAGAGAAAACCTCCTAGAATACAAGAGACAAAGAAGCAATGTAGCAAAGAAGAGAGGAACTATATATAGAAGAATCTCAGCCATGTTGCTGGAAGACTCAGAACGGGCAAGAAGATACAGTCATTCAGTGCAGGCCAACACAACTTCAAACCAATACTAATTAACTGATAATCTGTAACAATAAATTGAATATATGCTTGTCAATTTGCATTAAACATTCAGCTAAGTAATCCATGTGTAAAATAGAGAAAGGTGTCAAAACCTTTATAACACAGGTGGGTGTGAGTTAGGTAGCCATGCCAGTTATGGAGGCAGAGTTAATTTACACTCAATAATAATCCTTAGGGGGGAACCACTGGCAAATCCTCATAAAATGACATAAAAGAATAGTAAACTATGGCTAGAGGCATGGTCAAATGGTGGAGCACCAGACACAAGCAAGCAAGCTCAGTGAGGGCAAAGCTCTGATTTTAAACCACAGTCTTAGCAAAAGCACAAAATCCCTTCATTTTCCTGGGGAGGGGTGGCGCATGCCTATAATCCTAGCTACTCAGGAAGCTGAGATCTGAGAATCTGAGGAGACTGCAGAGCAGAGAAATTTCGGAGACACTTAACTCCAAGTCACAACAGAAAGAAGGAAATGGAGAAGTGGTTTAGGGTAGAATATCACTGAAAAAGCTGAGCAAGTGTGTGAGGCCCTGTTCAAGCCCCAATACTAATACAAAAGCACAAAATCTAGAAATTCTTATCTCCTTATCAATAATCTTGCCATGTTTAAGAAGACATTCAAATCAAACCATTATGTCTTATTGAATACCTTATTTAATTCTTCTTTGGTTAGTGATGCCAATAGGGTCTTCCTAAATTTCCCTTCTTTGTACTTCTGAGTAATAAAGGCTTTCCTCTTTTCTACTGGTGAGTCCATGTGTAATTCTTCCTCCTTTTGAAGATTACCAGCCCAAAAATCATTTGCTCTTTTGTTTCCAATGACAATAAAGAGCTGAAATATTAAAAAAAAAAATTGGCATAAACCTAACAGTTCATATAATGTATCTAAATCTGAAAAAAATCCTATTGTAAATTTAATACATAACTCAGTATAAAATGTTTGAGAAGCCAGAAAAGACTGAATCCTTTCCAGAAGAGGAAGTATGGAAGCAGATATGATTTCTATTTTTAATACAGCCTTGCTACTCTAAATAATGGTAAAACATTAGCTTGGAACAAAATTGCCAGCCACACAAATTGCAGCAAAAGCAGTCGTATGCTTTAAAAACATATTTAGACAGATTCCTTTAGAATGGTTGAGAAAGTGGCTACTGCTGTCTAGAGGGAGCAGAAAATGAAGACAAAGGCAGCCAGTTAGACTCAGTAATGTCAGAGCCTGGCCTGCATAAGGAATATAAGTTTTGCTCCATGTTTTCATTCACTTTTTTAATCTTTTAACATTCCATGTTAAAGAGAGAGTTGGTACTTTTACAGAACCTGCCAAGCATTAATCTACGTATTACCACTAAAACTCTTTGTCCATTTTATTGTTTAAATATCTACCTCATTCAGAAAGCTTTCTGGAAGAGTCCCTACAATAAAATAAGCTAGAAGCCATTTTCATACTGTGGCAAAAATTTTACTAAGGAACTTCTAGGAAATTCATGCTCCACCTGTACCATCACCACCTCTAAATTGGACTGTACCTCGATGAGTTCGTTGCTCCAAATGCTGGCATCCATTTTTAAACTTCTAACCTTGGAATCTTTTGGTCCCAAAGATCTATGTTGTCCTGCAGTAAAAAAAAAAAAAAAGTTTTATTTCTATTTTAATTTGTAGGTGAGCTTACACTAAATTTTTTAAATATGTACAAGCATGTGCAAATGTGTATTTTTCTGTACACTTCAACTTAAAACATCCCCATACCTATTGTATGAATTGTTAGTATCATGAAGAGTAGTCATGGCTTCAGAAATCATAATCCACTTTAACAGTCACCAGCTTCAAAACCACCCTGTGCTAGCATAAATTTATTCTTCTAAAAGAATAGATACATAAAGCCAGTCCCCAGTGGCTCACGCCTGTAATCTTAGCTACACAGAAGGCTGAGATCTGAGGATCTCAGTTAAAAGCCAGCTCAGGCAGGAAAGGCTGAGATTCTTCAATAAACCACTAAAAAACCAGAAGTGACACTGTGGCTCAAGTGGTAGAGCACTAGCTGAGGGACAGCGCCCAGGCCCAGAGTTCAAGCCCCATGACAAAAAAAAGTATACATACATACATACCCATGTACACACACACATATGAAAGCTGTACATATGAAAGCTATGCACTGGTGGCTCACACCTGTAATCATAGCTACTCTGAAGACCGAGATCTAAGGATCAGGGTTTGAAGTCAATCTGGGCAGAAAAATCCAAGACATACTTGTCTCTGATTAACTAGCAAAAAACTGCAAGATGAAGTACAGTTCAAGTGGCAGAGTGTCAGCCTTAACTGAAAAGCCAAGCAAGAGCATGATGACCTGAGTCCAAGTCTCAGTAGTAACAACAAAAAGAATATATGCATATATGCACATGTGAATATGTGATGCATGTGTCTGTGCATACGTATGCCTATTTGGTAATTAGTTAAAAAACATCACTAACGTCTGTTAACAATGGTTCTGTTTAAAGCGCATGTATGTGAATACAGGTATTATTTCTTTACTATTAAAAAAGTTTATACAATTCTATAGATACTTAGAAAACTGGTGGGCTGGATTCTGTTATATCTGAAGAGAGTAACAATATGGCATTATATTATAGTCACTTTGATTAAGCTATATAAAACAGCTGTCAGTCCTTCCTACCTGGTGTCCAAGCAGAGTCAGAGACCAAGCTAAGAAGAAAAGAGTTACCCCTTGTGCCTGATCTAAAGACCGTTTGCCCTCTGAGCAGTGAAATTTGTTCCTGCCTCTACTTAAGTAGATGAGTTTTCTTTTTCCTTCTAGAAAGTGATAACTCTTTAGAGTACAAAGTCCTAGACTTTCCAGACAGAAATTTGCATTGTTTTGCATTGGTAAAGGCTACCCGGAGGCAATAATAATAAGGCAGAAACTTAGCAGGAAGGACTGAAAGAAACTGCTAGAATACCCTAGCCAATAATGGGAAATATATGAGTTGAAGCCACAGGAAGAGAAAGAAAATGAACCAGTCAGGTGTAAAGATGCTGAGAATGGATAGGACATGGTAGGTTTTAAGGAAAGTAGAGGTGCCAAGAAGATGGGAAGGCGAAACAAAGGAGGAGGCTACAATGCTTGATAAGAAATGCACTCATTATCTTGCCCACGTAATTGTAACTCCTCTGTACAGTATTTTCACAATAAAAAAAAGATCTCTTAAGAGTACAGGGTAGACTGCAGCTTCTGACCAAATAGAATTTTAAATATGAAAATGTGAACTATTTTACACAGGACTGGAGACAGCAGCTGGTTCCATTTCTGATATCATACTGTTAAGATATTATTGACATGTAGTGAGTCTGGAGTGAATATGTTTGATATTCAATAGAGTAAGAATCATATGGCTAAGAAATGAGAATTGAAGTAATAAATAATATCACTCAGGAACAGTAAAGTGAAAGAGTTGAGGATGTCACCCAAGGATGTACTTCCTGAGAATCAAGAGGAGCAACAGCCTGACCAAGGATGACCAGTAGGAGTGTGAGCACACTGAAAGAATGGTACCCTGGGGTTGGGAAGGTGGCTCAGTGGTAGAGCGCTTGCCTTGCATGCACGAGGCCCTGGGTTCGATTCCTCAGCACCACATAAGCAAAAAGATAAAAGCCAGAAGTGGAACTGTGGCTCAAGTGGTAGAACACTAGCCTTGAGCTGAAGAGCTGAGGGACAGTGCCCAGGCCCAGAGTTCAGGCCCCACGACCGGACCCCCCCAAAAAAAAGAATGGTACCCTGGAAACCAAGGGAGGACATAGTTCATGAAGGCACATAAAGTCTCAAAGGACTCAAGTATCATAGAGAAAAGAAAAAAAACAGGAAAGGACCAAATAGAAACTGAGACATAAAGTACACTGGTAAATATTTTCAGTGGAATACCGGGGAACAGATGATTACAGAAGGCTGAAGGAAAGCAAAGCAATTAAAAGAATGCAGAAAACTGTGCAGACTATGGAGCAGTCACAGGAACTCATCTATGGCACGGAAAAGGGACATCAAAGCAAACAGAAAGGTTTTATGGCTTCTCCCTATCTCTCTTAATTTATTTTAATTTTTGTTCTCTTTAAGAAGTGGTACAAAGGAGTGTCAATACAAGTCAATTTATGAGTACAATGGATCTTGATCAATGTCCTCTCCTCCATCATTTTCCAGCACCCCCGATCTGTCACCTAAAGTCACCTGCTTCCATTTTCACATCGAATATTATGACTATATTCACCCACCCTGAGAGTGGAAAGTTTGGAAATTGCTTGATGGCATTAACAAGACAGAAATTGTGCATACAAGTTAATTTAAGAAGGTGAGACTAAAGTTCCTAAGGAAGGAAGAAGGGAAAGCTAGGTTGAGTAACTGGAACAACACAAAGCCATCTCTTCTGAATGCACTACAATAGAGTAGAATGGGAGAAGCAATACAAAGTAGAGGGTGACCAGCTGAGGGTCACTGTTGCTACTAGTGTTGATAATTAGCTGGCGAGGACATCTGTCTTATTAGTATCAGTGACAAATGTAATGGAACAGAGATCTAGAGAAGTACTAAGAAGTCTAGGCTACTGTGGTGGCTATACTGCTGATTGTCTTTGCTGAAGCCAAGTCATGAGTTCCTCTCTTGTATTCTGTCACTGAACTTTGAAGTCAACTCCAATCCTGCATTTATCATCTTCTACTATAATTATAATGTATACCTTTCTAGAGATTATATCATGTCTTATACACCTTCTTAATGCCCCCATACCAGCACCATAAACTCGTGTGTGTGTGTGTGTGTGTGTGTGTGTGTGTGTGTGTGATGTGTATGGTATGTGTGTGTTAATTGAAGGCAGGAGAGAGGCTGCCCTGAAAAAAACAGTAAAGTTTGTGACTTTTTCTAAGACTTTTATAACAGCTATTAGAAATCATTCCATACAGCTGAGTCATTTCCCCCTTTCATATCATTAAAACTCTGAGCTCCAAAATACTGTTAAAAGCCAGGCAGGTCAGGTGTAAAGTCACAATAGGAAAATCAGTCATAGTGCTGACATTTTTTTTCCCTTAAGTATCAATACTTTTGTGAAATGTTTCTACATAAAATGCATATGATTAGAGAAACTAAATCCACTCTGCAAAGTTTGGAGCTTGATATGAAAAACATAGCATAAAGAAGTGACAGGGGATTAATGTGCCAATCTTCATGCAAAGATGTAAGCTTGTTCAAAATGTCAACGTGGTGTTCAGAAAATCTATACAAAAGGCAGAAGACACAAAATACAATTACATGCTTAAAAAACGATTTTTTACATGTGAGTCCTGCATAAGAGAAGCTGAGAATTATTTCCCAATCTGTTCTGAATGTCATAAGGACATTCAGTTAGGACACATTATATATGACCACAGAGAGCAGTCAGCGCCAACCCACCACAAACAATGATGAGCATAACTTATCACTAATTACCTGCGCACTTCTTACAGATGACAACACAGAGATTGATAGAGGCCCAGTCAGGATCTGGGGCTTTACAATCTGCACAGCTCCTGTTGGACTCATTGAACCAAATCTTTTCAGCTACTTCATAATCAGAGAGAGTTTCTGCAATCGATTGCTGCACAGCTTCAATCCACTCTTGTTTCTCTTTTTCAGACTCGGCTGTAAAGCTGAAACAATTAACGTTTCTGCATTATCGATCTCCCTTGTAAAGGCCAATTAAGCAGGATGTTCAGTTTGCATATTCATTTCACTCACAAATTAAACAGCAGCTGAAAATTATGCCTGCCAGGCAGTTCTGGGTTGTCTTTTCTGTTAAAAATCATCTAATTTAACAAATGGTTTTCCTTTAAAATGTCCATAGTATGTATGACTCTGTTTGCATCTCTTGAACCAAAATTAATATATACCTTTTTTTTCTGACCAAGATATAAAAAATTGCCTTGTTGGGTCAGAAGCCTAAAGAAGAGGCCAGGTTTCCTGTGCACTGATTTGTACAATAATCAATAAGAGACTGGCAACAGTTTCAGGACTATTGGAATATTTTGCCAGCCTAGAGTGCTGTGACAGTCTGAAACTAAAATTACCCAAACACCCACTAGAAATGGTGATTTTTTTTCAGATTTAAAAATAGATTTTTTTTCTTAATTGGAAGAATGTCCAGATGGCTTTAAGAGAGTGAGAAACCAGAGAAAGTTTTAAGTGGTTACTATTCTAACAGATTCTAACTTCTAACTTGTTTTCAGCCACATTTACTTAGCCTGATTCTTAGTATGCATTATGTGTTTGGACGAAGAGATGAAATACTAAAGAGTTCACTCCTTCTAGAAGGAGGTGACCCATCAATGGAAGGAGCTCCGTGCTCCGCTCATCACCTTAAAACTTTGTTCTGAAAATTAAAATATAATGACAATAACCGGTGGCTCACGTATTCTGCATAACCCACACCCCAAAATATGTATGGCCCATGCTATTATATTTTCTGAAGCACGTGATGAATTCACTACAGAACTCACAACAGAATATTCACTATATTTGCTACAGAAGATTCACAACAGAATAACAGAATTCTTAAGTGATTTCAAGTTTTCCCAGTTTGGTTTCAGGCGGTATCTGTAGTTAACAATCTGGAGTCTCAGGGGAGCAGAGAACAGACGAGGAGAGGAGATGGCAGCAGTACAGACATGCACATTGCTGGAGATGGAACTCAGGGCCTCATGTGGTCAAGGCAAGTCATGTACCAAGGAGTATGCATGAGCCCAGAATCTGCATGTCTGAAAAGGAAAGTCTCATTCTTTACTCACTTTTTCTCAAAATGTGAGTCGATGGGCATGTTTTGATAGAGAAAATATGTAATACTCTTATATTGATATGGCTAAATAATTGTTAACCTTCAAAGGTGTAGAACAATTAATTGCCTCTTACCTGACATAGCCCTAAAGTATACTGATTATTTATAACAACTGAATTAATTCAGTTAAAACACACAGACTGACATAGGTCTGTTCTGTACATTAAAGGTATGGAATTAAAACATATTAAGCACTTTAAATTTTGTTTCCTGGTCTGAATAATGCAATTATTAGAATATCATTATACATGCTACACAGGAAAATGTCAGACAATTTGGATCAATAATTTCATGTGATTCACTAAATGATCTTGCTTTGGAGCTGAATCATTGCAGGATACGGTATGGAGCAACCAGAGTTGGGGATGGATGGAGGGATTGTGCCAAAAAAGGGAAAGAAGAGTTTTTTTGTTGTTTTGCTTTTGCTTTTTTGTTTTTCTCCTTTGCCATTTTTTTTATTTTTGTACTTTTTGTCTTGTATTTATCTGTTTCAGAGAGGGCACAGGGAAGCAAAGAAATGGTGGGACACAGGGTGAACAAATGCAGCAATGATGCTCACCAGACACTATGTTGAAAATGAACGATGCAACTTGTCCAAGAGGGAGTCAGGAAGGGAGAAAATGAGCGAAGAGGTGACTGCTCTCAAAAAGAAATGTACTTATTAACTGATTTATGTAACGGTAGCTCCTCTGTACATCATCTTTACAAAAATTAAATAAATAAAAAGGACTACATTTGGTTCGTCTAAAAGAAGGTAAAAGTTAAAGACAATGCAATCTTCCCTTTGTATTTTATTCCTTCTCAATATGAAGGAAATTTCTTTGAGTTTTGGGTTTTTTTCCCCTTTTGTTGCGGCTTTTGATTTCTGTACTTTGGTTTTGTATGTAAGCTTATCTGATTTGTAGAGGAGAAGAGGAAGCACAGAAATAGTGGGACAGAGTGAACTAATTCAGCAGTTACACTCACTAGATACTTGTGGGAGGTGAGGGAGGAGGGAAAAAACTCAGAAAACCAGGGAAGAGGCGACATTGTTCAAAAAGAAGTATATTTATTACCTGACTTACGTAACTGTAACCCCTCTATACATCACCTTCCCAATAAAAAATAAAAATTAAAGCATTTACATAGTGAGACCAAAGGAGGATATTCTTAGGATAGGATCACAAGGTCTCAATAGCTATGTGCAAACGATAATACAAAATGATACTTATTGAAATAAACTCCAAGATATGGAAGCAAAAGGTTTTTTATTATACTGTTTGTGGTTCTTTCCTCCTCCTCCTTCTCCTCCTCCTCCTCTTCCTCCTCTTTCCTTTCTTCTTCTCTTCCTCCTCCTTTCTTCTTCTCTTCCTCCTCCTTCCTTTCTTCTCTTCCTCCTCCTTCTTTCCTTCTTCTCTTCCTCCTCCTTCTTTCCTTCTTCTCTTCCTCCACCTCCTCCTCCCCTCCTCTTTTTCCTCTTCCTCCACATCCTCCTCCCCTCCTCTTTTTCCTCTTCCTCCACCTCCTCCTCCTTCTTCCTCTTTGTTACTGTTTTCCCTTTTGTCTCTGTTTTAATTTCTGTACCCTTTGTCGTGTATGTAAGTTTATCTGATTTGAGGAGGAAAGGGGGAATCACAGAAATGGTGGGACAAAGGTGAACCAATTCAGCAGTGAACTAGACACTATGTTAGAAATGAACTATACCACTTGTGGGTAGAAGGGCTGGGAGAGAAAGACTGGGAGAAAATGATGGATGCGGTAACACTGTTCAAAAACAAACGTACTCATTACCTGACTTACATAACTGTAACCCCTCTGTATATCATCTTTACAATAAAAAAGAAGGAATTTTCAATACGTTTATTTGATAAGCCTATAAGGAAAGGAGAAATATTAAGAAAAACTACTCAAATTTCATGAAATAAATATCAGTGCAGGTGGCATGACCATAAAGGTCATTTTATATGGTATTTTATATGCTGGCTAAGAAGTTAGATTCTTAGGATAACAACACAATTTTTAGCTGGGTGTAGGTGGCTCACACCTGTAATCCTAGCTACTCAGGAGACTAAGATCTAAGGATCAAGATTCAAAGCCAGCCAGGACAGATAAGTCCCCATGAGACTCTTATCTCCAATAAACTCCTCAAAAAAGCCGGAAATGGTACTGTAGCTCAAGTAGTAGAGAGTAAGCCTTGAGCACAAAATGGCTCAGGATCCTGAATTCAAGCCCCAGGACAGGCAAAATAATAAAAAAAAATAATTAATTAATGCCCTCTAAGGGATAAAATCACCACTAGCATTATAGAGACAGTTTGCTCAAGCTTTCTTGCAGTTGTACTGGAACAAATATATAAAAAAGCCAGGTACTGGTATCTCATGACTACAATCCTTTCCACTTAGGAGGCTGAGATCTGAGGATCACAGTTGGATGCGAGTCAGTGCACAAAACTTTGTAAGATTCTTATTTTCAATTAACTGCAAAAAATCTCCAAGTGCAGTAGTGGAGCTATGGCTCAAGTTGTAGAGCACTAACTTTGAGAAAGAACAAAACAAAACAAAACAAGACAACCTCAGAACAGCACTCAAGGACTGAGTCAAGACCCAGAACCTACATACACATACACACACACGTTTGAAATGCGCTTACCTGAAACTCCTGTAGGGAGTGATTATTTCAAAAGATTGTTTCACAGTTCTGTCTACTTGCTTTACGTTGGCAACATTCATGGGAATTACAGTAATACCAAGTCCACACTTAAAATCCTAGTTTGGAGAAAAACATTAAAAAAAAGATTAAGAAACAAACATCACTGAAATTTGAAAATACTTTTTGAATATTTTACTAAACATATCTTTATGGTATTAAACAAATCCAATTTAAAAATGGATCAAAACTGGTTTGTCGCAAAGTTCACTTCCAAGTGAGATTCTAAGGTTGACAGTTCAAGTACTGATAGATACAATTTCTCTTACCTCGAAGATAAGTCAGTAAGGTAAAAGATATGAGAAAGGCCTTGCTTTAGACAGCGGTCACATATTCACCTTTATCAGTTCAGCTAAATAAAGTAAAAATTAAAAGCCTTGGATGTGCCAAGCATTTTCTTAGAGGGGAGGACTAACTGATAATGTTAAATCAACATAATTATAATTTAAATGAAAAGATAGGGATACTGAGGCTCAAAAAGATTAAGTTGCCAACCAAGTGCCCTTAGTTGTATATGGTGGAAAGAAACTAAAGCTGAACTGCTTTACTGTATTGAGTTATTTTGACTATGACACCTTATTTTTCTCTTCATTTACTCTCAAAGATATTACTTATTTTGTGAAGAATACCGTTTCATCTCATTTCAATACTTTCTCACTTTTCTTTCAATTGGTCTCCTAAGAAGCTCCTCTAATGCTACTTTGCTATGAAACTATAATTTGTTCAACAGCTATAGCTACTGATTTCACCTTGTCTTATGAACATTACAAACTATTCAGAAGGCTACAAAAGACACTTCAATATAAAACACTATGTTTGTGTAAGCCTGGCGCTGGTGGCTCTTCCTTGTAATCCTAGCCACTCAGGAGGCTAAGATCTGAGGATCAGGCTGTAAGTTAGTCCATGCAGATAATGCCTCTAGATAAATCAGCAGAAAGCCAGAACTAGATATGTGAATCAAATGGCAGAGTCCTTGCCTTTGAGCTAAAAAGCCAAGCAAAAGGGAAAAACCCTGAGTTCAAGCCCTAACTCCAGTACACACACACACACACGCACACGCACACACACAAACTCCTATTAGCTCATATGTGCTTTGGAACTAGACTTATCAAATAAATAATCTCAATACTTTATAAAATACAATCTGTACTTCCAAAAAGGAATTATTTTTATAAATTCACATTGGATGTACTCTGACTTTCCAAATTGAATTATGGAGGGAAAAAAAAAAACACCTACCACTGAAGAACAAATACAAAAAGAACTAGTACATTTTCTAAAAGGACATAGAGCAAAGACTATTTAGAAAGCAGCCCATTCTGTGGTACCTTCCACCTGGGTGAAAAGTCAAAGTACTGTTTTCCCATCTCTCTTTCAGCTACGAGAGGCCATGTGTCCTGTTTGTGATCAATACAATCAATATAAATAACTGTAGTGAACATGAGGGGCGGGCAGAAACCACTCCTTGCTTTTCATTGTTTTGGGGAAATGACATCTAGAAACACAGAAGCTATTTCAGAGCATAAGCATCCTTGAGACAAGACCCCTGAGGACAAATTCTTGTGTCCTGAAAATGCCAGAGTTTGGAAAAATAAAATAGGGAGAGCCCTGTACCATCTACTCTATACCGTAGACACTAGTTAACCAAATCCTTATCTTTCAAGCTTCCCTTTGGAATGTAGGCTTAATGCTAATGCATCAACAAAAGAAGAATCAAACAATTTTACAAGGAATTTCCCCATATATTTAGGAATATTCAGAGTTTCCAGTCACAAGCTGAAAAAGGGTACTTCTTACCACTATTCCTTTTTATTTATTTTATTTATTTATTGTAAAGATGCTGTACAGAGGGGTTGGGGATGGAAATGGCGCTGTGGCTCAAGTGGTAGAGCACTAGCCTTGAGCTGAAGAGCTGAGGGACAGAACCCAGGCCCAGAGTTCAAGCCCTATGACCCACAAAAAAAAAAAAAAAAAAAAAGATTCAGGAGAGTTAGGGAAGTAGGTGAGGGAAGGGATAATAGAAAAACAAAGGACGAGTAACTGTGTGACAAGAAATGTACTCATTATCTTACTACTATTCTCATTATTACTCAATATGCAGATTTTGCCATTGGAATAAGGAAATGATTAATTTAGAAAACAAATCATCAATTGAATATTACATTTTATTACATTTTTTTCTGATGAAAGAACAAATGGCTGATTTAATTAGGGAAAAGGGCAGAATTTAAGAATGAGAAGCAGGATGCAGAGAAATACTGAGTTTGGGAAAACAATGAGAAAAAGGGTGGTGTAGATCCACTTCACAGAGTTGTCTCCCTGAATGTAAGACTGTGCCATTGATATATGCTGAGTGGATGGGAAATGAAGTTTTCCAATGAGCCACATTTTAATAATTATAGCATATCATGACAGAGTTGTACCAGTTAAATTAAAAAACAAGTTTTCTAATTATCCATACTAATTCTCCTGACTGGATAATTCAATTGTTGGATAAATTCACAATGTCTGTGACTCAGAATTTAAACCCTTTTGTAAATGAGAAGTCAAAGGAGGAGTAACAAAATGGGTTATTTTTAAAACAGTTTGCTGATGGCTCACATTGATAAAGGAACCATCTGCTCTTTAATATAATAGTCTATTTATGGCCGGGTGCTGGTGGCTAACCCCTGTAATCCTAAATACTAAGGAGGCTGAGATCTGAGGATCACAGTTCAAAGCCAGCCCAAGCAGGAAAGTCTGTGAGACTCTTATCTCCAATAAACCACCAGAAAACCAGAAGTGACGCTTTGGCTCAAGTGGTAGAGCGCTTGCCTTGAGCTGAAGAGCTGAGGGACAGCACCAAGGCCCAGGCCCAGAGTTCAAGCCCCATGTTCAAGCTGAATGTCTTTCTTAGAGTTTTCCATAATGAGCCTTGACAAGAGCTAAATATCAAACCATTCCAGATTATATTCTCCAGTGGAGGCCTGACCTGCATATACTGCATGTTACTAAGGGTAGAGACATATAATACTCTAACCAGCAGACCAGCAGATGGTGAAAGTGACAAACTTTGATGGAAACTGATGAGCCTCATCACGCTCTTACCTAACCAGACGGTCCCTCATCTCTAACAAACAAGGTATGAAAATGTCTACATCAAAAGCTGTAATTTCTAATACAATGAAGGTCTGCTCAACACTCCAAATTCCTCCCACGTAACACCAAGATGATTTTGTAGATGGGAAAGTTGTAAACAGTGTATCAGCTGCTTTCCACAGTCATATGGTTCTGAGTAATTAGAGTATCCACATGGTTCACCAGCACAAATTGATTGTAAAATATCCACCAGAGTAACAAAATAACTGTCAACACACTTGAGAACTCTTAAATAGGAAAGACCTGCATTTTCTACTAAAATATTTTTGTAAGGTTTGGCCATTTTTTTTAGATAATTTAGAACATATTCAGAGTATTTCATGCCTACATGCTTACTGAAATTATCTATTGCCATTTCTTGTTCTGAGATTTGATTCCATGAACTCAAGAGTAGAGCCTAAGAATCTTCAATTTAGAAAAACAAAACTACAACTCAAGTATCTCATCTGCAGCCAGTGCTGACAAACACTGAATCAGACAGCAAAACTAGTTTTAGAATTTAGACAGTATGAGTCTGGAATATTTAAAAACCAAGACGTAAACAGTTCACTCTGCTTTCTGAGGGGTGAAAAGTAAAAGCTTCCAATAGAATTTCTATTTGAAGTCATGGAGATTACTGGTTAAATGTAAGCAGGTCCAGAACACAATGGACTATAAGGATGCTAACTATCTTAGGTGCCAGATCCTATATCAAGATGCAGAAACTTTAAAAACATTCTCAGTAGACTCTATAATTATTTTAATATCAATTTGTGTGGTGGGCTACACAAATATTTATAAACTCATTTTTTTCTGAGTATTTTGGTGAAGCAAGCAGAATAGATATTACCATTTTAAATGGGAAAATTAGCCCTGGAAAAAGCAATATTTGTTCCTTAATGAGCATCTGGAGAATGCTAGAAATTTTGCATAAAAGTATAAGATAAATATATACGTTGAAAGAAAATGTCTAGTTTTAGGGTTAGTACGGAATGCAACACACCTAAACTAAAGAAGCCTTCACCAAAGGATGTTGTACTACTCAAAGAACAAAACTCGGAATAGTTTAATATTAGGTGTATCTCATTTCCTTTAGGTCACTGTTCACAAAATAAGGAAGTGTAGTAGAAATGCCTGGCACACAATGAGTACACATAGGTGAGAGTATCTATTGTTACTGATACTGTTTTTTTCTACCTCTTGAAGATGGAGTCAACTGAACATATTACCTATCAAAAGCTAATTATAAGAAAAGACATGACCCAAAGTAACCACTGACATATTTTTTAAAAGACAGAATGAAATGTCACTGTAAAATGGTCAGGAAAATTAAAAATAAGTAACACCAGTAATTAACAATTGAATTGTAAGCTCTATTCTCATTTTGAAAAATAAGCAAGGATGAGCCCAACTCTCAACCTCTTAAACACTATTAAATGGATTTTTTTTAAAAAGTAGCACATATATTCAGTTAGGAGGATTATGTAATTCTAAAAAGTATAAAGAACTAATGAGGATGTAGTGTAAGAAATACTTTACATCTAATTTTCTGAGACAGAATGTAGGATTCACAAAAAGCATGAATCTCAAAATTAGCAAAACCCCCCTGGCATGGTTTAACAGGTCGGCCACAGCAATCACAGTGATGTTCAATTGGGCCCTGAGAGCCAGACCTACGGGAATACTAGCAGAGCCACTTCCTAGCTACCTGACTACTGGCAGGTTATTTGTTTTATCCTGACCTCAATCTCTCACTGATGAAAAGAGAGTAATAACCTATATACTGACCTTCTTATAAAATTTAATACAAGGGCGTGACAACCCTTCCATTTTTAGACTATAAATTTAGAATTCATCATCAATGGAAAATATTTCGATTTCATTTGTAATCACAGAATATGTGTGATTACAAATGAAATGGAAATTGCCAATAATTCCAAAC